GACGAGAGTGTACATAGAAAAGAAAAAAGAAAAGAAAGATGAACACATTTTTAAACTCTTCTTTCAGTTCCTATGACTGTCTTCGTGATGACCCTTTTGACCACAACTGGCCATCGCTGCCTCAACTTCCTGGTTTGCATTACTCCATGAACGAGCAGTGCCGCTTTGACTTCGGCGTGGGCTACACGACGTGCACCGCGGTAAGAGACCAGCGTAGTCCTAAACAGTCTCTTTACTAGCATACAGTCGCTAGCTTACTGACACCTGAAAACTCCGCTAACACAACAATGCCATCCTCTGCAACCTTTGCATCGCTTTATCCTCTCGCTCGCTTTGAATTGCTTGTATCAGTTAATTCAGTTCAGTTTGCTGAATTTCACTGTGGCATATGTACTTTTTATGTGACCCCTTAAGCTCTGAAGGTTTTCCTTACTAACCAAGGGCCACACTGTAATGAAATGAGAGTCACTCATACACAGCTATTCACGTTCTTCTGATGTCCTCTGTTTCCTCTCCCGGCCTCTGGTGGGATTGACATCTTACTTAAAAGCAGGTAATTGGTTTTGATAGATACTTCTTTTCTGTTGTTAATGTTAAATAGCAATCAACTATTTATTTGTTTATAATAACACTACATATGCCTTGATACCACAGTGCCTTTACATGAAACTCTCACAAGCAGCTCTTTGTAAACACGAAAAGCTTCACCCAGCTGCAGCATCTTGCCAGGCCTTTTTACCCCAGTCACCCTCACCCGCTCTATGACTGTGAAGCCACTGTGGCACGCTGTTGGGAGGCTGTTGCTTAATTGACTGACAGCTTGTTCAGGGGCTTTGCACACCTTGCTAGATTACCCTCTATTCTCTTGTCAAACTCATTCCCCTCAGCTACAAAAGGCGGGGCAGGCAGGAATGCAGGTAAGGTTACCCCATCTCCTGGAAGACATGTGGCCTCGTCTTTTATTTTCTCAGACTTTCTTTTTCTATTTGAAGTTGTAACTGTTTGTAATGTTGCTCCTTATTTTCAATTTTTTTTTTCTTTTTACTGTACTTTGTTTATCTGTCCTACCCATTGTCATAGTTTGGATGTTAACGTTGGATGTTAGTCTGCAGGATTCTAAAATGCTTCAAAGTGGCGCTAAAATCTTTCAAAACAACTGTGAAGCTACTGGTTCATTGGTTGGCTGCGGTGCAATCCAGCAGTTGAACAGTACCATATCCCGAGTCCTCTTCTGCAAAATCTGTGTTAAATCACTGCAGCCCTGGCAGGAAGAGCCTCATTATATTGGCACTCTTGCGACTTAAACGAGCGGAAAAGGTTGGAAAGATGCCTTTCCCATCCAAGGGGAAAGGGCCTAGCCAGAACAGAGGCTGTTTTTCCATGTTTTCTCCTCAGCTTTTAGGATCCTCCAGTCTGATCTTACTGCTGATTACCTACCGCAGTCTACCCACTGACTGTGACTCACACTAAGACCTGTAAAGGTCCACTGGGGTCATGGTGGGTAGAAAAGCCTTTGGAGGGAGGAGGGCACCGCCCCTCAGACACTGGACTTCACTTCGGTTTGGTTGGTTGATATCCTCATCTGTGGCTCATATCAGACAAGAAGGAGAATTTGGACTTGATCTGTGTCCAGGGGCATTTTTAGAGGTCACTGAGACCTCACTCTATGGCTTTTGAAACCTTTTGCCCTCTGCCCTCCGCGGTGACATTCTTGACTGTAGGCTGTCTCATTATGAGAGTCTTGTCTCTCTCACGCAAACACACATCCATTGGTTTAGTTTGCATGAATGGCTGTGTATCTCTCAGTGGAGCATAATGTACAGTGCAGTGACTCAGCACAGGTTTGGTGTTGTTAGTGTTGGATATAATACTATTGTTGTGGCTATTGTTGTTGTGATATCTCTCCTCCCATCTCTACTTGTGCTTCCGTTATTCAGTGTTTAATCTCATCCTAGTAGCGTGTGTTGGACGTTGGAGCTTTCAGCTATGAGAATGGGTTTCTCTCTGTGTCCCACAGTATCGCACATTTGAACCATGCAAGCAGCTGTGGTGTAGCCACCCAGACAATCCATTCTTCTGCAAGACTAAGAAAGGGCCACCCATTGATGGAACCATGTGTGGGGAAGGGAAGGTATTTATACACTGCTTTAGTACAATAAAGTGTAGTGCAATGCTACTGGAAGCCAAAGAAAATGTATTTTATTGTACATTTCCAATCGGTAAATTATGCGCTTGGCCTGTTGCAGCATTGCTATAGAGGTCACTGCATCTGGCTGACCCCTGACCTCATGAGGCAAGATGGAAACTGGGGTGCATGGAGCGAGTTTGGCCAGTGTTCGCGCACCTGTGGTGGAGGAGTACAGTTTCGCACACGCAGCTGTAACAATCCAAGGTAGGAAACTCTTTACCACTGCATGTATAAAAACAAATATCACTTTTAGGTATTGTGTCACTCCTGATAGAGAAGCCATTTATAAAAATGATTGAAAAATGTGAATGATTAATGCCGGGCTCACACTGCGATTTTTGGCCCATTTTGAACCGATTTTTGAGTCGTGCGACCGTTTTGGCGATC